GTAAAACACAAATGAACAAAAAATCTTGCTGAAAATGCGTAATTGTTGTGTGTCTGATAAAATTGGTACAGGAATCCAGCAAGTATGAGAGTCAGTCATTGCACTTTCCTTTTGTTTTTTTGGAGGGGGAGAGAGGGAAGGGATATTATTCTTGGCATATCATAGTACCCTTCAACCAGTTTTCCCAGAAATCAACTTGTGATCCTGTGATTCAAAATATATAAATGAAAAATCTATTGTCACCTGTCCTAGAAACAAACATAACTGAGAAGCACTGATAGGACTGCAGAAACTGGCCACTTAAACTGCCAATGTGACACACTTGCACTGAAATTCAGACTGTAAATGAGCTCTTTAGGAAATCATTGCTGGGGCCAGCAGGTGGCATAGTGGTTAAGGCGCAGGACTCCCACATGGCTGACCCAGGTCCTGGATCTGGCAGCCTGAAAATCACTAAGGGGTGTGTGTGTGTGTGTGTGTGTGTGTGTGTGTGCATGTCCAAAATCCCAAGAAGAGAATCAAGGCATTGTGGTGTGTGCGCACCCCTGCAATGATTTCTCGCTTTCTCTCTCTCCATCATGAGCACAGGCTCTCCCTAGGACTAAAAACTGGGGTGGGGGAAGGGAGAAGAACATCATTATTATTCATTCACTGATCATTACTATTCAAATTTTTTGGAGGCCATATTTTTTGAGCTAGCAATTCAAATCCCATTTATATCCTAGAAAAAAACTCTGTGCAGGCTGGCAGGTGACGTGGCAAGTGAGGTGGCCACATGGCCAATGGCAGTTTAAGTCCTAGACCTACTCCCACATGACCAATGGCAGTTCAAGTCCCAGAACTGGTGGCTTGCTTTCTCAGTTTAGGGGGGATGGCCACACCGCAATCTCCTCCATTCTCCTCTCAGGATCTTGGGCACATATGCACACGTGCCCCGCTTAAGTTTAAGCCACTGGGTCTGGAACTCGAACTGCTGTCGACTACATGGGAGTTCAGTGACAGAGCCATTACACTAACTGCTGGTCCCAGGTGAAATCATTCTTACCCTGAGGAGAGGACATTTCCTTTCAATTAGCTGGAAAATGTCAACAGGCTTTTAACAAAACCTCAAGATGGCTCAGGAGGATAGTACATAGTAGGGTCTCCTCCACCTATTATGTCCCTTGTTACATTCCCTTCTCTTTTATAGTGAGTGCACTTCCAGATGCTGCCTCCCAGGAGGTAGCTGGAACCTGCCTTCAGTTTGGACTCTCTTCCCTAACAGAGAGATCTGATTTCCCGACTGTGTTGTGCTCCCCTGTGGGCTAGAGGTGCTGACACTAGAATAAACTATGAGCCTGTTGAAAGTGTAGGATGGTAATGTCTGGAATCCAGAGTAAATTTTTTCCTGGCTCCGCCTTGGAAGCTAAAGACTTGCCTTGAATAGGCCAGCAGATGGCGTGGTGGTTAGGGAGCTGCATCCCACAACTGCATGGTTTGAGTGCTAGACCAGGAAGCTTGAAAAACACGCTGGGCATGTGTCAGTGTGAGTGCCCAAAATTTCAGAGAAGGGATGGCGGCATGGCCATCCCTCTGTGGGGGGTGATTTCTCACTTCCTTTCCCTTTGTCTCTCTCTTGAGAGTGTACACACCCTATAGTAAAACACAAATGAACAAAAAATCTTGCTGAAAATGCGTAATTGTTGTGTGTCTGATAAAATTGGTACAGGAATCCAGCAAGTATGAGAGTCAGTCATTGCACTTTCCTTTTGTTTTTTTGGAGGGGGAGAGAGGGAAGGGATATTATTCTTGGCATATCATAGTACCCTTCAACCAGTTTTCCCAGAAATCAACTTGTGATCCTGTGATTCAAAATATATAAATGAAAAATCTATTGTCACCTGTCCTAGAAACAAACATAACTGAGAAGCACTGATAGGACTGCAGAAACTGGCCACTTAAACTGCCAATGTGACACACTTGCACTGAAATTCAGACTGTAAATGAGCTCTTTAGGAAATCATTGCTGGGGCCAGCAGGTGGCATAGTGGTTAAGGCGCAGGACTCCCACATGGCTGACCCAGGTCCTGGATCTGGCAGCCTGAAAATCACTAAGGGGTGTGTGTGTGTGTGTGTGTGTGTGTGCATGTCCAAAATCCCAAGAAGAGAATCAAGGCATTGTGGTGTGTGCGCACCCCTGCAATGATTTCTCGCTTTCTCTCTCTCCATCATGAGCACAGGCTCTCCCTAGGACTAAAAACTGGGGTGGGGGAAGGGAGAAGAACATCATTATTATTCATTCACTGATCATTACTATTCAAATTTTTTGGAGGCCATATTTTTTGAGCTAGCAATTCAAATCCCATTTATATCCTAGAAAAAAACTCTGTGCAGGCTGGCAGGTGACGTGGCAAGTGAGGTGGCCACATGGCCAATGGCAGTTTAAGTCCTAGACCTACTCCCACATGACCAATGGCAGTTCAAGTCCCAGAACTGGTGGCTTGCTTTCTCAGTTTCCATTTCTCTCTCTTCCTGTCTCTCTGTGGTAAAATTAAAAATAAATAATAATAAATAAAATTAAGCAAAATAAATAAATGTTTAAAAAAGAAAAAAACTTAGTGCAGTTATGTAGGCTTGTCTCTAGTACCCTTAAGTTGGGGACAATTCCAGTGTCCTATATGTGTGTTTGTGTGTAAGTTTGCTGTAGGGCACATGTGCTCGCTGGAGAGTGAGTGATGCAGAGAGAGGAAAAGTGAGAAATCACCTTTCCCACCAGGGGGATGGCTATGTAATCCCTTACCCTCCATTCTCCTTTCAGGATTTGAGGAATCCATGCACATGCACCTGGCATTTTTCAAGCCAATGGGACTGGAACCACACAGTCTGCCATGTGGGATCTAGCTGCCTTAATCTTGGTGCCACCGGTTGGCCCCTACGTGGTTCTTTAAGTACTATCATATACTGAACTTCCAGGTGAAGAAATGAGGGAGGAGGATGATTTAGAAAGTGTGGTAAGGGGGACCGGCAATTGACATAATGGCTATGTCACCAGATTCCCATGTAATCGACTGTGGTTCAAGATCCGACCCGGTGGCTTAAACTCACTCTGGGCATGTGTGTGGACATGCCCAAGATCCCCAGAGGAGAATAGAGGAGAAGGGATTGCGGTGTGGCCATCCCCCCTAGGGGGTGATTTCTCACTTTTTGTCTTTCTGGGGATGACACACTTTCTATAGCAAAAACCTCTCCAAAAAAAAAAAAAAAAAGAGTGTGATAAGGGAAGTAAGTGTGATAAGGGAAGTCTTTATTGGATAGATAGGCTACATTTATCTTTTTTTTTTTTGAGTTTTTTGCTATAGAGCGCATGTGCTCTCCAGGAAGGGACAGAGAGACAGAAAGCAAGAAATCACCCCCCAGGGAGGATGGCCACGCTGTAATCCTCCATTCTCCTCTCAGGATCTTGGGCATGTACATGCGCCTGGTTTAAGTTTAAGCCACTGGGTCCAGGATACAAACTGTGGTCAACTACGTGGGAGTCCAGTGACACAGCCATTACGCCAACTGCTGGTCCCTACATTTTTCTTCCCCTAGAAAATTATTTGTATTAGCTACCTTCTCCCTTTCATTACCAAAAAAGAAAAAAAAAAAAAAAACTAGAGAAAAGTCAAGAGAATATGGTAATAATTGTTTGTCTAGAATCAACTGCTGACATTAGCCACATTGGTTCTCTTTAAATATACATATAAAATGCTATTTTTAAAGGGTGCTGAACTCTTAGTAATTGTAGACATAACAATTCACTCCACATCAAGTTTTTCTCCTGAAAGCAGGACCTTCTCTCCCATGACTGTAACACACCTACCGCACTCTGAGGTTTCTAAACATTAATAAAATGTTTAGAATGTTTGCAATATAGTCCATATTAAAAACTGATATTATGTATATGTGTGTATATATTCCACATTAAAATGTCCTCTGTTGTTCTCTCTTTTCTATTCAGGATTACCTGAATCACGCACAGCATTGTCTCTAGTCTACTAATAAACAGTCTTTAGTTTGGTTTTGTTTTCATGGCACTGACAAGCCAGTAGTTCGTTGTCCTATTACTGGTGATGCTGATTTTAGGTTTTGGTTAAGATGGCGCCTCCAAAGATCTATTGTAAAGGAACGTTTTCTCCTATGTAATTCATAATCTGTGGGCTATTTCCTGAACTTTTGAATATCTGACTCCTCAATAGCCTGTATTTGATTGTTTTGGCTGCTGCTGATTTTCTAAATTGATTACACTGGCGGTAGCAAAAGAATCTACAGTTGCTCTGATTGACTCTGAAGAGCTTTGCCGGAAGAGCACCGCTTAATAGCCAGCTGCTGGGATATTAGATGTTACCAGCACAAAGTCTGGGAAAGGTCAACTTCATCTCTACCCATTAAAGCCATAAACATCGAAATCACACTCTTATCAAATGAATCCGTGTATCCCTTCAATAGTTTAAAAATAAATAAATCAAGTGTATTTAGAGGTGAACCAGAATCTTAGACCAGTTTGGGCTAGAATGGCCAGCTAGGGTCATCTGAGCTCTGAAACCCGGGTTGCCTCCAAACTAGGACCCTCCTTCCAGTCCCACTCCTTTGGGCCTAGTGGAAAAGGACCCTCCTTTGGAAGGTGGGAAGCAGTAACTTGATTTGGGTAATCCTTATCACCCTCAAGCCTGGATTTCTGCTTTAGGGGGGGAGGGGGGGTGTTCAGGCCTAATTTGTCGTTTCCTAGGGTAAGAGTCGACGCGCCCTGCCTCCACCCATTTTCAAGATTCTATTGCGGAAGAAACAAGTCGATGCAGGTGGGGCACCCTAGTGCACTTGGAGACAGCTGAGCCCAGAGGAGGAGTCTCCCGAGGTCGCAGGGAGCCCCAGGGCAGGGCGCGGTGGGGTGGGGTGGTGGTCCTCCAGGGAACAAAGCCCAGCCCCGGGCTGTGAGTGCAGCTTTAGCCGCGGGGGCGGGGCCTGGCGGGGGCGGGGCCTCCCAGGTGCTTGACTGCACGCGTGGCCCCGCAGGGCTGCACCGCTAGGCCCAGTCTCTGCCTGAGTGGTTGGTTTCGAGGGACTGGAGATGGGAACACTCCCAGAACGTGAAAGTATCCCCCCGTGGGTGAAAGTTCCCGAGGAACTGAAAGATCCAGAGGTGTTCCAGGTCCAGACGCGGCTGCACGGAGCCATATTTGGTGAGTGAGCACAGTCCTGGCCCGGGTGCCTTGGGCAGGGGTCTGGGTCTCCGCATCCCGCAGCGTACATTTTCTTCCCCCAACAGGCCCAGGCGGATCTCAAATTCCTTATATTGAACAAGTAAGCAAGACCATGCTCGAGCTGAAGGCTCTGGAATTTTCGGACCTCACCGAGGTGGTGGTTTACGGCTCTTACTTGCACAAGATCCGGACCAAGTGGATGCTCCAGTCCTTGGCTGAGTGGCACCGACAGCGACAGGAGCGCGGTGAGAGACTTGGTGACCGAGAGCTTTGAACCGGGTTCCGCGGGGGCATCTCCTCTCTCTCAGCCCTCCTCTCACCTTGCCCTTCTCGCTTCCCCGCAGCTCACAAGCACCACCATGCCTCGGGCATTACCAGGGGGCGCTGTTGGTGCCTGGGCTATCCCGGAGACTCTGGGAGTCTGGGGTGCCAGGGTGCTGGGCTTTGGCCCTGGGTACCCCAGCATGGGACTTCAATGAGAGGTGGGCGGGGAGGGTGGGCTGGCCCAGTTGGCCATGGTTATATGAGACCATTTCTACTCAGTTTCCTACCCCGCCTCCCTTCTTGGAGAATGTTGGAGTGGTTTCCCGTTGTCTCACGTTCCCAACAAAATCAGACTCAGAATGCCTGAGTTAGAGGTCCCAGAAACGAATGGCAAGAGGCAAACGGTCCAGGCACTTACCCTCCCCCTCTTGTACTCATCAGGCTGTTGTTTTTTCTGGTGCAGGGATGCTCAGACTTGAGGAAGCCATGAACGCCCTCGAACTAGGCCCTGGAATGAAATGAAACCAGTTTCCAGCCCGTGGGACAGGGACCAGGATGTGCAGATTAGCTTTGGCCACAGCTGGAGTGGTTCTGGCTGGAAAGCCCCAGGAGTTAAGGAAAAACCAACTGTATTTGGTTCTCTGCCTTTGCTGAGTCCTCATGTGAATATCTTTTCCTGAGGTTGCTAATGAAAGAATAAAGTTTTAAATCATAGTTCCTTGACATTTTGGTGGTGGGTTCGAGATAACAATTCAGACACCTCTGAAGCACTACCATGTATGGCCCTTGACCTCAACCCTTGTTGAAATCCCCCCAAAGCTGGACAGAGGTCAAGTACATTTATCTAGGGTCAAAAGGGTCTAGGAGCCAAGTCCTGAGATGCTGCCCTGAACCAAAAGCCCCTCGGCTTTTGGGAGATGTCATAATGTCTGGAACTGACCTGGACTCTCATTCAAAGGCTGTACCTCTGTAATAGGTTAATATGTCAAAAACAATAATATGAAATTTCTAGCACCATTCCCAGTGCAGCAGTTTTATATCCTTGTAATTTTTTTTGGCAAAGTTCTTAATAAAAGACAGCTGGGTTTTCATCTGCGTTCATCCGTTGTAACATGTTACCTAGATTGGAATTATGTGAAAACGATTCAGCCTTAGGTAGATGGAAAAAGAGAACCTCACAGACCCCTTCAAAGGGTGTCTAGGGTTCTCATGGACACTTGAATTTTGCAGCATTAGGCACCCAGAGGGAAAGTAGAATTGGGAGAGGTGAATGCACTGCCACAGGCAAGCTTACTTCTAGTAGTGACTGAGGAACCTCCAGAGTGAGGACTAGTTTTCTCCTTCTAGAGACTTGATAGTTCACCTGGAATGAATTCTACTGTCTGATCCTATGACCTTAAGCAACTCTCTCAGATCCTCAAGCTTGAAGATGACAGCCCGTGACCCCCATGAAGTTCACTCTTAATACATGTAACAAACAGGACAGGTATTCCATGTTTGTTGACTTTCTTGAAGATGAGGTGTTTTCTGTGAGAGAAATCTGGCATGCCTATCAAGCAATTGCTCACACCTTTCCTTGTCAGTGAGTGGCACCCCCATTTTGGTCTCCATGATTCGGGCCAATAATTAGCCATCCTTGATGCCTCTCCCCAGTTTGAAGTCTGTGGACTAGTGCAGTTCATTTGGCCTGAAGCGAACAAACCCAGAATCTGCTTTGGAGTCAGGGAATCCCTCCTAAGGAGATCATATAGGAGTCAGACTGTAGTTTTGGAGGGGCTGTGAAGCAAGGTCTAATCCAGGCAAGCATTAAAAAAAAAAAAAAGATAAAACGGGAAACCCTGAAAGGAGATCATATAGGAGTCAGACTGTAGTTTTGGAGGGGCTGTGAAGCAAGGTCTAATCCAGGCAAGCATTAAAAAAAAAAAAAGATAAAACCCTGACTCCAAAGCGACAAATAATAATGACAATAGCCAACAGCAATAGCCTCTGGCCTGTCTAGATCTCCACTCTGCTGCATTAACTCAATTCTCAAAACATTACCATTCCCATTGTACTTTTAACCCCTATCAATCACTTCCTTCCCAGGATTTGCATACTCTATAAGCTTTTTTTTCCAAAGGTTTTTGTCCTAGGGCCCTTTCACTGGCTGGAGACAAAGACAGTGATTAGAGAAACCACCCCCTGAGGGGAAGGCCCTGCCACAGTCTCCATTTTCCTCCTTAGATTCTGGGCACAGATGCACATGTGCCCTGTGTGATTTTCAAGCTGCCTGGGTGGAGACTCTGACTGGTGGACCATGTGGGAGTCCAATCCCTTAACCAGTACACCACCTGCTGGCCCCCATTGTTAATTTTGTGATGCCATTTGTTAAAAAGTAATCCTTAAGTTTTAGATATTTGGGACATATACAAACAATGATTTGTTTTAAATTCAAATTTAACTGTGCATCTTGTATTTATTTTATCTGGTGTTTCTAACTATGAAGTTTTCTTCTATTCCAGACCTATCTCTCTCTCTCTCTCTATCTCTTCTTTTTTTGTGTGTGTGCGGGGATGTTTCTAACCAATTGATATTGAATCCTGTCCTCTTGTAGGCTTAGACTAATGTGTGTGTTTTTGCAATTGTTTTATTCTATTTTTTCTTTAGGATTTTTGTTGGGAATGGAAAGAAGCCTCCTCTCTCCTTCAAAGATACCTTTTTCTTTTTTTTTGCAGAGGTTTTCGCTATAGGACGCGTGCGCTTGCCAGACAGAGAGAGACATAGACCTTCTCAGTCTTTTTTTTTTTGGGGGGGGGGAGATTTTCACTATAGGGCGCACGCGCGCTCGCCAGACAGAGACATAGAGACAGAAAGCGAGAAATCACTCCCCAGGGGGGATGGCCATGCCGCAATCCCTTCTCCTCCATTCTCCTCTCGGGATCTTGGGCACGCACACGCACACGCGCCCGGCGTGAGTTTTAAGCCACCAGGTCCGGGACGCGAACCACGGTCGAATACATGGGAGTCCAGCGACATAGCCATTATGCTAACTGCTGGTTCCCCTTCTCAGTCTTTTTTTTAAGTTGCTTTATTCATGATAGAGAGCAAGTTTGTACATACATATGCATGCAACTGAGAAAGAGAGAGGGAGTGTCCTTGACAGGGTCTTCTCACACATGAACCCCTTTATTCAGCCTCCCAGCTCATCATGATCTTGGATGTCTACCTGCATGCTAATTGTGTTTTCTGTTTTTTCTTTTTTTTGAGAGGTTTTTGCTATAGGGCACGTGCGCTCACCAGACAGACAGAGACAGAGAGACAGAAAGCGAGAAATCACCCCCCAGGGGGGATGGCCACGCTGCAATCCCTTCTCCTCCATTCTCCTCTCAGGATCTTGGGCACGCACACACACACGCCTGGCGTGAGTTTTAAGCCACCGGGTCCGGGACGCGAACCACGGTCGAATACGTGGGAGTCCAGCGACATAGCCATTACGCTAACTGCTGGTTCCCCTAAGTGTGTTTTCAAACAGACCCAGGAATCCAAACCAGTAGCTGGTCCTGTGGATTCCGGTATTGCAGTTAAGTTTGCTACTGACTGAATGACCTGGCTAGGTCTACACATGACGACTCTTATTTCTTGATGGGATTTGCCAACATTAAGGATGCTCAAGGCTATATAGCCAGTGTAAAACAAATTTTGTTTCAAAAAAAGATTTTTGCCACAGGGCGTGTGTGTTTGCTGGGGGGGGGAGAGAGATATACAGAGCCAGAGGGAAGGTGAGAGATCACCCCCAAGGGGGGGATGGCCACACCACAATCCTTTCATTTCCATTCTCCTCCTGGGATTTTGGACATGCATGTACACATGCCTGCTGTGAGTTTCAAGTCACCAAGTCCAGGACTTGAACCGTCGGCAGCCTTGTCGGAGTGCAACCCCTTAACCACTATGCCACCTCCTGGCCCTTTTGCCATAATTTTTAACAAAATATTTTAAAAGTTAAAAAATAATAGAAAAAGCTTATAGAATAAAGATTTTTTTTTTTTGAGAGATTTTTGCTATAGGGTGCATGCCCTTACTGGAGGGACAGAGAGACAGAAAGCAAGAAATCATCCCCAGGGGAATGGCCATACTGCGATCCCTTCTCCTCCATTCTCCTCTTGGGATTTTAGGCACACATGCACATGTGCCTGGCATGGGTTTTAAGCTGCCAGATCCAGGACTTGAACTGCGGTCGACTATGTGGGAGTCCAGTGTCCAGCAATGTAACCATTATACCATCTGCTGGCTCCAAGGATTTCAAGAGAGAAGTTTTTTTGGGTTTTTTTTTTTTTTTTTTTTTTTTTTTTAGAATTATTTGAATTATTAATTTATTTTGATTTGACCAGAGAGGGACAGAGTGGGGGAGAAACTGCCAGGTCTGGTACTCAAACTGCAATCAGCCATGTGGGAGTCCAGCGCCCTTAACCACCACACCACCTACCAGCCCAAAGAAAGAAGTTTTTGTATTGTTATGCAATGTGTTTGTGTGTTTAAGAGAGATTTTTACTATGGGTTGCATGCGCTTGCTAGAGACATAGAGAGAGAAAGTGAAAAATCAGCCCTTGTGGGGTATGGCCACACTACAGTCTCTTCACCATTCTCTTGGGAATTTGGGCACACATGCACATGTACCCAGTATGAATTTCAAGCCACCAGATCCGGGACTTGAACCGCGGAGTCAGCTGTGTGGGAGTCTAGCACCTTAATCAGGTGTATCTTTTTTTAAAAAATCATGCCATATATTCATGATATCTTTTCTGTTTAGATATGTGTAGACACAGAAACACTTTGTGTTACAATTGGCTACATTATTTAGCTCAGTAATGTGATATACAGGTTTGTTACCCAGGAACAATAAGCTACATCAGGGTCTAAGTTTATAGTAGGCTATTACCATCTAGGTTTGAGTAAATACATTCTATGATGTTCACACCCTGGCAGAATTGCCTAATGATGCATTTCTCAGACTGTCCCCTTTGTTAAGTGATGCATGGCTGTATCTTTTTCTTTTCGTTTTGTTTTTGAGAGGTTTTTGCTATAGGGCGCGTGCGCTTGCCAGATAGAGAGAGACAGAGAGACAGAAAGCGAGAAATCACACCTCGAGGGGATGGGCACGCACGCACACGTGCCCGGCGTGAGTTTAAGCCACTGGGTCCGGGACTCGAGCCACGGTCGACTATGTGGGAGTCCAGCGACACAGCTATTATGCTAATTGCCAGTCCCCACATGGCTGTATCTTGTGCTGTAGTCACCCTTCTAGGTGACCATGGGTAGCTATAACCAGGGAGAGACTATTGAGTGAGGGGAGACCTGAGCACAAATTGCTAACTTGAGTCTCTGGGAACCAACTTTATGTATGTGTCTGGGTCAGTTCTTTCATTGGTGTTTTACAGACTCCATTCATTTGCAAAATTACTTAAGTCAGCAGATTTTCCTCCTCTTACTTCAGTGAGTTGTTTCATACATTTTTTATATAGTTAAATGCGCTTATCATAGTTTGAATTCTGGGCTCGCCCAATCTCCTAAATGCTTTCTTTTAAGTTTGTGTGCATTAAGATTCACCCTTTGTTATAAAAGTCTATGGTTTGACAAGTGCAAAATGTCATGTACTTAACATTATAGCATCACAGAGAATACTTTCACTGCTTTTTTAAAGAGATTATTATTTTTTTGGAGTGGTTTTTGCTATAGGGCGCATGCACTTGCCAGAAAGAGACAGAGAGAGGGAACCAGCAGTTAGCGTAATGGCTATGTCGCTGGACTCCCACGGCATAGTCGACCACGGTTTGCATCCTGGACCTGGTGGCTTAAAACTCACGCCGGGTGTGTGTGCGTGCGTGCCCAAGATCCCGAGAGGAGAATGAAGGAGAAGGGATTGCAGCGTGACCATACCCTCTGGGGGGTGATTTCTTGCTTTCTGTCTCTGTGTCTCTGTTTGTCTGTCTGGCGAGCGCACACGCCCTACAGCAAAAAAAAACTTCCAAAC